TTTTAATAATATTCATTGTTCTTATCATGCATATAGTGTGTACTTCCACTTATTTGTATCTTCTTCAGTTTCTTCCTTCAGTATTTTCTAATTTTCCAGGTACAAGTCTTTTGCGTCCTTGGTTAGATTTATTCCCAGGTATTTTACTCTTTTAAAGCGATTATGAACGGGATTGTTTTTAGTTTCCTTCTCTGACTATTTATTTTTGGTGTATAAAAATGCTGCCAGTTTCTGTATATTAATTTTGTATCCTGCTTCTTTACCAAATTCATTTATTAGTTGTAGTAGTTTCTTGGTGGAACCTTTGGGTTCTGTATGTACAGTATCATGTCATCTGCAGATAATGACAGTTTTACTTCTTTTACAATTTAGATGACTTTTTTCCTTTATGATTGCTGTAGGTAGGACTTCTACTGTGTTGCATAAGAGTAGTGAAAATAGAAATCCCTTTCTTCCCGATATGAAGGAAATCACTTGTAGTTTTTGCCTGTTGAATGTGATATTGGCTGTAGGATTGTCATTTATGACCTTTAATACGTTGAGGTATGTTCCCTCTGTTTTGACTTTGCTGAGAGTTGTTATCATAAATGGTTGCTGGATGTTATCAGATGTTTTTTCTGCAGCTGTTGATCTGATCATGTGGTTCTTATCCTTCATTTTGTTTATGGGGTGTCTCAGGTTCATTTATATGTGGCTGTTGTCCAAACCTTGCACGCCCGGGGTCAGTCCCCCTTGGTCATGGTGTATGATTTCTCAGTGTATTGTTGGATCCAGTTTGCTAATATTTTGTTCAGGATTTTAACATCTGTGTTCATCAGGGATATTGATCTATAATTTTCTTTCTTTCTAATGTCTTTATCTGGCTTTTGAATTAAGATAACGCTCGTAAATTGACTTCGGGAATCTTCCCTCCTCTTGAATCTTTTGGAATAGTTTAAGAAGGAGAGGTGTTAGTTCTTCTTTTAATGTTTGATAAAGTTCACCTCTGAAGCCATCTGGGCCAGGACTTTTGTTTGTTGAGAGCTTTGTGATTACTACTTTAAGCTGGTTCTTCTCGATTAAGTTTTGGAAACTTGTATGTTTTTAGGAATTTATCTAATTCTTCCAGATTGTCCAACTTGTTTGCATATAGTTGTTTAATTTTCTCACTATCTATATTTTTCTTTTTTTAAAGAGAGAGTGGAATGGAGGGAGAAAGAGGGAGTGAAACACATCAATGTGTGGTTGCTTTTCACACGCTTCTAACTGGGGACCTGGCCTGCAACCCGGGCGTGTTCTCTGACTGGGAATCGAACTAGTGACCCTTTTATTTGCAGGTTGGGACTCATTCTACTGAGCCACACCACCCAAGGCTCATATGTATTTCTTTGGTTTTAGTTGTTATTTGTATTTCATTTCTGGTTTTAGTTATTTGGGTCCTCACTCCTTTTTTTCATGATAAGTCTAGGGAAAAGTTTGTCAATCTTGTTTATCTTTCCAAGAACCAGCTGTTGTTTCACTGATCTTTTCTATCATTTTTTAAGACTCTACTTCATTTATTTCTTTTTTATTTTATTTTATTTATTTATCTTTAGAGGGGAAGGGAAGGAGAGAGGGAGAGAAACATCCATGTATGGTTGCCTTTGGAGTGTCCCCTGCAGGGAACCTGCCTGCAACCCTGGTATGTGCCCTGATGGGGAATCGAACTGTGATCGTGTGATCTACTTCATTTATTTCTGCTCTCATCTTTATTATTTGCTTCCTTCTACTAACTTTGGGCTTATTATTATTTTTTCCAACTTCCTTTAAGTGTAAAATGAGATTATTTATTCAGATTTTTCTTGTTTCTGAGGTAGGCCCATCCCTGTTAGGACTGTTTTAACTGTGCCCCATGGATTTCGGGTTATCTTCTCATTTTCATTTGTCTCAAGGTTTCTTGATTTCTCCTTTGATCTCATTGTTAACCCATTCCTTGTTAAGTAACATGTTATTTAGCCTCCATGTCTTTGTGTGTTTTTCAGGTTTTTTTCTAGTGATTGATTTCTAGTTTCATACCACTATGGTCAGAAGATGCTTGATATTTTTTCAGTATTCTTAAATTTATCGAGACTTGTTTCTGTGCGCTAATGTGGTTTATCTTAGAAAATGTTCCATGTATATTTAAAATATATTCTGCTGCTTTGGGGTAAAATGCTCTGAAGATATTTATTAAATCAATATGATTTAGTGTGTCCTTTAAGGCTGTTGTTTCCTTGTAAATTTTTTGTCTGGAAGATCTATCCATTGATGTTAATGGGGTTTTCAAGTCTTCTACTATGACTGTATTACTGTCGATCTCTCCCTTTATATCTATCAAGTTTTGCTTTACATATTTAGATGCTTCTATGTGTGGTCCATTTATGTATACAAGGGCTACATCCTGTTGTGAATTTTTCCCTCTGTAATTAAGTAGTGTCCTTTGTCTCTTACTACAGGCTTGGTTTTAATGTATATTTGTTGTCAGTTATAAGTCTTAATGTCCCAGCTTCTTTTTTCCATTTGCATGAAGTATCTTTTTCCGTCCCTTTTAGTCTGTGTGTATCTTTCATTCTGAGGTGAGTCTCTTATAGATGGCATATATATGGGTCTTATTTTCTTACCCATGCAGTTATCCTATGTCTTTTGATTGGAGCATTTAAGCCATTTACATTTAAGGTAATTATTAATAGATTGTATTTATTGCTATTTTATTTTTTAAATATGTTTTTTTCTTTTTCTTCTGCTGCTTCTTAAAGCAAACCCTTTAACATTTGCTATAAGCTGGTTTGGTGGCAACAGACTCCTTCAGCTTTTTCTTACTTGGGAAGCTCTTTAGTTTTCCATCAATTTAAGTGATAGACTTGCTGGGTAAAGTAGTTTTTGTTGTAGGTCCTTGCTTTTTCATAACTTTGATTATTCCATGCCAGTTCCTTCTGGCCTGAAATGTTTCTGTTGAGAAATCAGCTGACAGTCTTATGGGAGCTACTTTTGTGGGTAACTGTCTTTTTGTGTGTGTGGCTTTTAAGATTCTCTTGTCTTTCACCTTTGCCATTTTAATCATGATGTGCCTGATATGGGCCTCTTTGAGTCCATCTTGTTTAGATTTCTGTATGTTTCCCAGGCTTGTCTTTCCCCTTTATCAAGACAGGGAACTTTTTGGTCATTATTATTTCAGATAGGTTCTTGATCCCTTGCTTTCTCTTTTTCCTTCTGGTACTCCTATGATATATATGTTGTTACACTTCACATTGTCCCGAAGGACCCTTAAGCTATCCTAACTTTTTAAAAATTCCTTTTTCTTTTTGCTGTTCTGATTGGGTATCTTTTTTCTACCTTGTCTTCCAAATTGCTGATTTGATACTCTACTTCATCCAACCTACTGTTTATTCCTTCCAGTGTATTCTTCATTTTAGATATCGTTTTCTTTATTTGTGATTAATCATTTTTTTTTTTTTTGGTTTTGATGACCTTTTTCTTGCTATTGAGCATCCTTATAACCATTTAGAATAAACTTGATGTCCAATAAATCGCTGCCTCCATTTTATTTAGCTTTTTTTCTCTGGAGATTTTTCCTGTTCTCATTACATTTGGGGTCTGTTTCCTTGTCTCCCCATTTTGGCTGCCTCTTTGTGTTTGTTTCAGTGTGTTGGATAGATCTCATATCACTTCCCATTTTTGTGGGTTGCCCTTATATGTACTGGGTAACCTGTGGAGTCCAGTCATGCTGTCTCTATGATTGCCTAAGCTGGGTGCTGCAGGAATATTCCTTGTGTGGGTTATGTGTGCTGTCCTTTAAAGTTATACAGGGAGTATATATGATGAGTGAGACTCTTGGGGGACAGTCTTAGAATTCTGCTCCCATGCCCAACTTATAAATCAACTTTGTTTCCATAATTTAGCAAGTTGAACTTTGGAGATTCAGAATGCATTTCTCCAGTGAGTCTTATTTTGCAAAGCAGTAAGTCGACAGGGCACACAGGCCACAAAGATTCAAGTTAATTCATAACGTGAGTTAAAGCAAGCCACTATGTATATTTTTAATACCAATATTTTTAAAACAATAATTAACAGAAAAATACAGTATAACATGCTTGTATTTTTAATTCAAGTCACAGCAACACTTTCCTCCCTCTATACTCTAACAGTGTAGAATGCTTATTTACTCTTGAAACAAGAAGACAAAGAATGCAAATCATTAATAAATAAATAGCAACTGAAGAATAAACTCTTTCACGTCCTCACAACTGTAAACCTGCTTTTGCCAGCCCCAGTATAATACAGCTTCAGTGGGAGATGGTGATCTGATTAGCGTTAGATGGCATTAGGGTTGGGGAGGCAATTAGGGCGTAGGGCCTTGGAGGACCAGAGGAAGATTTTTGGAGATCCTTTTCTCTTCATTCTGTCCTCTGAGTGGGATGGGAGAAAAGGTGAGTGTGAGAGTAGGCAGAAAAAGATGAATGCACAGGATCAAAGGTGGCAGGAAGGACTTTTCCAGCCTCAATCTGTGTGCCTTTCCCTGCTGCCCTTTTCGGCCCCAGGAGCTGTTGGGCTCACCGAGGAAGTAGGGAGCATGTGACAGTGAGGGCAGAGCGGGAGAAGTAGTTCTTTAGTGGGAGGCAGTGCTGGCAGGGCATCTGGATGGCCTGTGTGTGGAAGGAAAAAAATCTGGGATGATTAAATGGAGAGTTCTTCTCCCTAATACATTTCATAAACACTCATAAAGCAGTTTGTTGAATTTGAAAGATAGTGATTAATGAGTGATCCTTACCTGTCCATAATTTCTCTCGCTTTTCTGTCTTATGCTAAAAGGGCAAGTTGAGCATTTAAAAGACAAGCTATATGAGCAAAGCTCATGGAAATGTGGATTACAGAGCAGGTGCTAAAATGCCTCATATCCTCTTCATTTCTCTAAAAAACTGTCATGTCCAATACATTACAGTGATGACCTCTGTTGTAGATCATTTGGACCTGGCTTGTTTTACATTTCTTTGTTTTGTCTTCAGGTTTGATGAGGCAGCACTCTCTATTCAGAAAGAAAAAAATATTTATAAGGAAATTGAGAATTATCCAACTTGTTATAAGGTATGTTTTGGAAATGCTTATTTTTGGCTTTACATTAGATAATGTTTCATATTGGCATATATATGTACCTATAACCAGATTCCATGGATAGTTGTATGTTTTTTTAAATAATGCTTTTTGGGCCTCTATTTTTGACCAAACTGGACTAAGCCTATCTGTCTTATTGATTACAATTAAAACTTCCAGAGAAAAATATAAAAAACAATTATTCGAAAAGTAGAGCAAGATGATGGAGAAGCAATCCACAAAAATGGGAAGTGATATGAGATCTATCCAATACACAGAAATAAACACAAAGAGGCAGCCAAAATGGGGAGACAAGGAAACAGACCCCAAATGTAATGAGAACAGGAGAAATCTCCAGAGAAAAAAGCTAAATAAAATGGAGGCAGTGATTTATTGGACATAAAGCAAGACTTGGAGAAGCAATCAATATAGCAGTGAGTTTCTAAGGATTTTTCATTGACTTAAGAGAAGCCTCAGTCATGGAGCTGGGCAGCTGAGGTGCTAGGAGCTAAAACTCCTAAAGAACCTGTGGACCTCATCTTTCTATCCGGAGGATCTGGGAAAAGAGACCCCATTGTTTTCATGTCTTTTTTCTTCCCCTGGCTTTGCTCTGTAGGGGAAGCCCTAGTAACGGGTCTATAGCTGTGGTGGTGGCGGCACAGGCAGTTAAAGTGCCAATGGAAATTTGGTCTCTTTGGCCAGAGGAACTGGGAAAATGAGCTAAAAGAGCAAGCAGAAACCTCCAGGAAGGGGAGCTGGAATAGGGAATCCCCTTTCTGTGTGTGTATGGGCCCACACAAGTCTTGCTATTGCTCCCCAGCTATGCCTGTGCAGGACAGACCCAGAGGCAGAGCATAGGATTTGAGAATTGCAGTCAGACTGCACCACTGTCCAGGGCTCATAGCATCCTCCCTGGGCTCTCACATAGGGCAGAGCCCAAGAAGCAGAGCAGAGGGACTGAACTAAGACTAGAGTCACTGCCGAGCAAAAGCAGACAAAACATGCAGTCTGAGCCTGACTAGGGTGATTGCCTGCTGGAAACACCCAACTTTCCTCAGAATTAGAGGACAGTCTATGCAGCATAACATTCACAGTGTCCAGGGTGCAGTCCCAAATTACAGAACATAGGAAAACATGACCACTTTTCAGGAGAAAAGACAACTGATGCCACCCCAGAGGTAACACAAGTGTTGGAATGACCAGATCAGGACGTCGAAGCAGCTGTTGTAAGTGCTGCTTGAGGCAAAGGGATACACAGGTGAACAAATTCTTTTTAATGGAAATCATACACATGAACTAAATGAGAATATTAGAACTGAAAGAACAATATCCGAAATAAAATACTAGATGGGTTTAATGTGATAAGGAGAAGAGAAGATTTGAGGAACATGAAGGTAAAGTTACCTGAAAAATAGGTATAATAAAGATTGAAGGGCCATTTTGCTGATACCTTATTAGTCATATCTTTGATCTTATTAATGCTTTTGTTGACTTACAGTGTCATTGTTTCTGTTATCTAAAATTTTCATTCATTCTAGTTTCCTAGTATCTGTTTAAGAAAGGCAAGGTACAATTATAGAGTTTTGTCTTCCTTTTTTATTCCCTTTTCAAGATTAAACCTACGTATATAGGTATTTAAAACAAATTTTCTTTCAAATGTATGGTTGTGATCTAAGGCTTCGTTATTTGTTACTCTGTGTGGTTCTCAGACTAGCAGTATCAGGACCCTCTGGGAGCTTGTTACAACAGCAGGCTCGGGCTGGCTTTGGACCCACTGGCTCAAGGTGTTCATTTTAATAAGACCCCTGGGTAGTCTGTTTGTACATTGGAGTTGGAGGTGTACTGCTTCGGGATATTTTCTGTAGATGCCCTGTGAAAATTACTGCAGAATTGTATAAATCTCTCTGTATAAAACCAGAACCCTGAAAGCTGAGTTCCTGATGTCAGGAAATTGACTTTATGAAGTAGATATAACTTTGGACCCTAATCATCTCTTTTGTTTTAGAAAACAATTGCTCAAGTCTTAGTTCATCTGCACAGAAGTGACTATGTGGCTGCAGAAAGATGTGTCAGGGAGAGCTACAGGTAAGACACCGAGAGCATCGTCTTCACTCGGAATGTTAACATTTCTATTAATTTGAGATTAATAGAGATTTGAGATTAGATAAATAACCCTGGCTATGAAACTGGTTTGTTTTTAAAAAAAATAAATAAATTTCAGTGTGACAGGAGCACCTGACTACTATTTCAGTTTTTACAGAAGGATTTTTACAAGCGTGTTCTTTCTTATATTTTTCTCCTGGAACTTTCACGGAAGTGAAAAACTTGAATGACTTTGTTATGTTTGCCTTCTAAGAAAAAAAATAACAAAAAAAGAAAAGTGCTTAGAACATATGCTACAGGAAGATCCGAATAAGGGATTTTCTTGTTTGAGATGTTTACAATGAGCAGTCCCAGTCCCGGCACTGTTGCCATTTTGGGGTGTGTAATTCTTTGTTGTCGGGCCTGTCCTGTGCACTGTGGGATGTCTAGTCTCATGTCTGACCTCTGTTTGATTGCAACAGGTAAAAATGTGCCCAGATGTTGCCAAACCTCTGCTGGGGGGCAAATTCACTGCTGGGTGAGAAGGAACAGGTAGAGATGTGTGATTTGTGCTTGCTGTAGCATTCCAGGGTTTAATGGGAGTGAAGACTGTGCTGCACTCGAACAGCTTCTTGAAGGTTATGACCAACAAGACCAAGATCAAGTGTCAGAGGTCTGCAACTCGCCCCTTTTCAAATACATGGACAACGATGTAAGTGGCCTTTTGGTTATCTTTCTTCTTTCCTCTTCAATGGAGGAGGCTTCTAATGAGATTACCTCTCTTGTGGACTTCTGAATTATTTTCCCCCTTTATTTTTTTATCTGAAGATACTGCTCAAAAGGGAACTTAGCATTTGCACTGAAGGTTTTGATAGGTTTAGATTGTTTGAATGTCAGCCATGAAGGTTCACAGCCAGTTATTTATCCATCTGCCTGTGTTGACCATATGTGTATTTTTTAATTTACCGCCTTTTCCCAGTTTCTTTCACTTGTTGACCTCCACAGCTCCCTTAGTTTATTAAGTTTCACTCTGTGAAAGAGACCCATCACGTAGTGGCCTTTGTAATTTGATAGACTTGTTGGAATTCCACTTCTGTGGCAGCTAGCTGTGCGATGCAGGTTATTAACTAACTGACTGTAAGCCTCAGTTAACTCACCTGGAGAAATGGAGCAACTGGTCTCTGTCTTGCCAGCCTGCTGTGAAGAGTGTCTCTGTTCACGAAACAGCCTCACACGGTACCATATACAGAAAGTGAGCCTCAACAGTGGGCTTCTCTTGTTTTGCATTTCCCTTTTCAGTAGGTTTGTGAGCACCAATTCATTTCATTTGCAACTTTAGTCTTATGGTATCAGATCGGCTCAAGATTTTCAATTTTTTTTATCACAATGTATATAGAGGAACATTTTTTTCTTGGTAAATTCTTAATAGGCTTTCGTAAATTTATATGTATTTTTAAAGAAATTGTGTCTGGCACTCTTCATTTACTCAACAGATCTTTATTTCATAGGAACTATAAGTGGTATTTAACTTACTATGATTTGATTATCTCAGATTCCTATGTGTGGCCTATAATTTGACATTTTTGCTAGTTGTGTATGTCTCATTAAGGTCATGACCTATTGAGAGCAGAGCAGTGTTGAGTTTTGTGCTGGGTGTTTTTCCATAATTAGTATTGGTTGTCTGTCCTGAGGTAGAGAGCTAGCATCTGTCTTTTGTTGCAACATCACATATGGAGTGTGTAGTTATCCAGACTTTGAGAACATGTTTTGTTGTTGACAGTATGCTAAGCTGGGCCTGAGTTTGGTGGTTCCTGGAGGGGGAATCAAGAAGAAAGCAGCAGCAACACCACAGGTCAAGCCTGAAGGCACCACTGCCACCACTGTGGAGGAAGACGAGGATGAATATGCAGGAGGGCTATGCTAAGCTTTACAGAAAGAAAGGGGGAGATCCTGACATGCCATTCATGGACTTGGAACTGGTCTGAGGGCATCGAGACTTCATTGCAGTCATGGCTTTGAATGCTAAAAAAGGCTAATTTTTTTAGTTAGGATTTCCCCAAATCTTTCATTGTACCCACTACCTGTGAGGCATTTTTTTCTTTTCAAAAACATTAGAAGGAATTAACAGAAAAAGTACTGTCACATGTTAATGCAGTTGATTTTAAAGTTTGCAAGCCAAGTTCTAGACAAATTATGTTCTAAACAAAAGGAACATAAGTATATTATTTTTCCTGTAATTTTTTGTTAGAGAATTATCTTTGCATTTTATTTGATAATTGCTGCTAAAATTAAAGGTGTATTAGTTAAAATAGTAAACGTTTGTTATGTTTTGAAAAGGAAATTTATTCCCTGTAATATTAGCTACATTTAAATTATTAAATCTTTTCAGAGGCCAAATTGGGATAGGAAGCTATTTTGATCTTAACAATATTATTTAGCCCAATAAAAGATTCATGTGAAGTTTGAAAGTTCTGAAGGTAGCATATGGAAGTGACTCTGAAAATGTCTTCAGTTCTCTGAAATGCGGGTATTTCTTCCACCAAAGTGCACCCCTCCCCCTCCCCACACATGGTGACTGTCTCCAAACCCACATGGTTCTTGTGTTAGTGGGAACTAACATGGACCTTTTCTATGCATTCTAACAAAGAGGTAATGCTTCCATTGATTGATATATACATTTTAATCCCTCCAAAATAATGTGATTCATTTAGAGTTGTTACAGGCCAGTTACATGACACAGGAAATGCTGTATACCACCAAATTTTAGCCAAAATGAGAGGATTGTTTTTGAGGTGTTTACATTTAAAGTACTATGCTGCCAATATTTTGATTTGTTATAGTTATGATCTAAAAGGTTGTTTTGAAGCATTCTTTTTCACCCCATGTGGCTTAGATCCATCTCCTAATCTATTAATTTGGAAGAGGCTCCAAACCCCAGCAGTGTGCATTCTGCAGGCAGATGCAGCCTAGAGCAGTTTCCTGTTTGTTTGAGCCCTGTCCTTCTCCTCAGAGAGTCCCACCTGTTGCAAGCTCAGTGTGCTTAGTTTTGCTAGACTCCCTGGAAACACTAAGGTAGATTATCGCAAGAGGTTTTAGCCAGAGATGGTTCTGTTGGAGAGTTTAGACAGGATAACATCCTCATTTGTGTACTTGGGGTGGGTGGATAGCAGCATAAAAATTTTTATAGGAGGTCTGATTCAAAACACTAATAAATTTGATGTTTTGATTCCCTAGGTTGCTTGCATAATTGGCAGGTAGCAGCTAATTTTCAATCATTGTTTGCAGATTAACTTTGAACATTCTTACTAAAACTGTATTTAGGCAGTTGTATTTAATGGCATTAATATTTCAAAGACACTATCATTGCTGTTGTACCCTTTAGATCCAGCGAGAAACTTCCAGAGTCTGATATTATGGCTCATTTGGACTGATTAGCAATCTGGTTAAACAGACCTGGCAGCACCTGCTAGACATTTTACACCATTTGTTTATAGACTATGTCACCATTGCAGCCTTGGAATTTTTTTTTATTTTTACTCTTTTCTTACATATTAAACAAAAATGAGGAGTGATTCAGTGCTTTCTGTAGCAGCAATGCAAGTGAGTCTTAAACAGCATGAAAGTCGTACACCAGGGCAGTCTCCTGCCAGCCTCCCTGCGCACATTTGAGAACTAATAGACGGACTTGTGGATGCCAGGGTTGTTCTGTGTGGTGTCCAGTAAAAGGCATTGGTTCCACGTTTATGCACTTAAGTTTTCCACATACATAAGTCTTTATTTTCAGAAAATAGTCAGCGTGGAGAACTCGTGTTTACAAAAGGAAACACTGTCCTTACTTTCACCGAGGTGGAAGTCTGCATGAACATGCTCAGAATCCAACATTCAATGTTCTGTTATATTGCAAGTACAGTCAACCTACAAAGTGTATTTAATATATTGAATTTATTTGTATATATGCAGAGTATGGTATATGTGCTTTATTCCTACTTTTTCCAGCTCTCTGATGAGTATTAAATGTGTTGTTATGGAAATGCAGATTATTGCTTCTATGGGAAGATAATTATGAAAATAAAATCTGAAACTATATAAATATGATTATTTCTTTTTATTCATTTTGCTTTGCTCGTTTATTTCCTTTTTTTCCAAGGACAACTTCTCATTTATATGATTCCAGCTATATTTGACAAAAACAGTATTTGTCTTTGAAGTTGTATATTCCACTCTGTGGGAGTTAGTTAAGTACCTTTGGGAGTTACTATAAACTATTTGGGCTTTTAAGATACTGGCCATCCAGTTACTAAAACACTGCACTATCTGCTACTTGGTGAGATGGATGACTTAATACATCTTCCAAAAGAAATAATTCTTTCATTGAGTTAAGTAAGGTGAAAATACATGATTAGAAGGCTAAGAAAACTAATGTGAAGTGGCACTGTTCTATGTTTAAGCAGAGTTAGCACCTTAATTACCAGTGGATTTACTTATAATTCGTCAGATACTTTCTGAGTGCCTGCTATGAAATATCATCCATGTTTTGCATAGAATGGGAGTCCATAGGATTTAATAGCTGGCCTTAATAGAAGTTGGAGGAGCAGGTAGAGGTACTCATGCAAGGGAAGAAATGGCTCTTGGACACAATGCAAGTTTGCATCTCCTCCAGGACACTTTGGAGTGTTCTGAGTGTGCTCTGTGTTCATCCTGGTGTTTCGTAGCATTAAGATGAGACAGCTGGGAAGGAGAAACAAAATGCATCTCCCTCTGTCGCCTCCCATTGTTTTATTAGGCTATACCAACAAAAGGCTGAGCATTGACTTCAATCTGATGTTGAATTTAAGAACATTAAAAATGTTTTGAGCTCTTCCGCCAAGATGGAGGCATAGGTGGATGTGCCGTGCCTTCTCACACAACCAAGTTTAGAGACAATTGAGTATCAGCAACAGAAAACACAGCCAGAACACGGAAAATTGAACTTTTCGGAAGTCCGTTAACAACAAATTCTTCAGCTCGACCGGTAAGGGGCAAAACCAACGGCTGGTGAAACGGGGTTGCACAGGAAAACTCGGTGGGACGGACTCAGGCGCGCGGAATCCATATGCGCGGAATCCAGGTGCAGGATTGGACCTAGTGAGCGACCGAGCGAGCGACCAGGCGAGTGACTGTGGGGGAGACAGCGGGGAGCGGTGCTGCGTGTTGACTGTGGTTGCGCATTTGTGCGAGGAAGTGGGCGGTTGGACCGGAGCCCGTGGGTCCCCGCGGCAAGCGGCAGTGGAGGGCGCCGCCATTTCCCTGCTCTGACCACGCCCCCACATACAGCATCATAACCCAGTGACTCTGAGTGGCCCGGCCCAGGTGAACCACCTAATGCGCTGATCCTCACCCAGCTGTGAGAAACAGCAGAGGGGGTCGCCATTTCCCCGCTCTGACCACGCCCCCACATACAGCGTCACAACCCAGCGACCTGGGAGTCCAAGGCACCGCTTCTCACACTTAAAGGGCCAGAACAGACCAAAAATGGCGCAAGAATATCTCAAAGCCCCAGAACCCATAGATCTAAGTGATGAAGAAATAGCAAAACTCTCAGACGCACAGTTTAAAACACTGGTCATCAGGATCCTCACAGAACTGGTTGATTATACCCACAAATTAGACAAATATATGAAGGCCAAACTAATTGAAATGAATGGAATTGCACAGGACACCAATAGCAATGAAAAGGAAACTGGGACTCAAATCAATGGAGTGGACCAGAAGAAAGCAAATAATGGCCAAACAGAAAAGAGTCAAGAAGCAAGAATTCAAAGAAATGAGGAGAGTCTTAGGAACCTCCAGGACATCTTTAAACGCTCCAACATCCGAATTATAGGGGTACCAGAAGGGGGGAAAGGCACAGCCACCAGTGGAAAACTTATTTGAACAAATAATAAAGGAGAATTTCCCCAATCTGGCAAAGGGAAATAGACTTCCAGGAAATCCAGGAAGCTCAGAGAGTCCCAAAGAAGTTGGACCCAAGAAGGAACACACCAAGGCATATCATCATTACATTAGCCAAAATTAAAATGAAGGAGAGAATCCTAGAAGCAGCAAGAGATAAGGGGACAGTCACCTACAAAGGAGTTCCCATCAGACTGTCAGCAGATTTCTCAAAAGAGACCTTACAGGCAAGAAGGGGCTGGAAAGAGGTATTCCAAGTCATGAAATCCAAAGACCTACAACCAAGATTGCTCTATCCAGCAAAACTTTCATTTAGAATGGAAGGACAGATAAGGTGCTTCTCAGATAAGATCAAATTCAAGGAGTTCATCATCACCAAGCCCTTATTATATGAAATGTTAAAGGGACTTATCTAAGAAAAAGAAGTTAAAGAAACATGAACAGTGAAAGGACAACAAACTCACAGTTATTAACAACCACACCTAAAACAAAAGCAAACTAAAAGGACAGCGAGATCAGGAGTGGAAGCATAGAAATGAAGATCTCAAGGAGGGTTAGCAATAGGGGAGTGGGAGGAGGAGAAGGGGGGAGAAGGTACAGAAAATAAGTAGCATAGACAGTAGATAGAAAATAGATGGGGGGGCAAGAATAGCATGGGAAATATAGAATCTAAAGGACTTGAGACACATGATCATAAACTAAAGGGGGGGTAATGGTGGGGATGGGGGGGTAGGGGTGGAGGGGAATGAAAGGGGGAATAGAACAACTGTAACAGCATAATCAATAAAAAAATTTAAAAAAATGTTTTGAAAGAGATAAGAACTGAGGCAAATAATATCAAAAAGGAGAAGCAAATCTATTCTATTTGAGGCCCTTTTAAGAAAAAATTTAATGGCCAAACTTTGTGCATAGGAGGAACTTATAGGGCTCTAAGTAACATTTAAAGGCACTAAATAAAATTTCCCTGAATAATTAGCTACACCTTATAAACTAGGCTAGTTAAATTTCCCTAGAGTTTAAGGCTTAACCATTTTAAATTACATTTGCAATTTATTTTTTTAGTATCTGATTCTGTAAAAGCTTTCAAAGGGCCCAATTAGGGCAGTCCTAAAACTTTCAAAATCTTTGCAAGCTCAACTAACTTATAAAGCTAGTAAATTAAAGTTCTGTGTATATAGTAAATTAAGTTTCCAAATTTTCAAGTACTGTTTGTGAACTTAAGTTCTCAAATTAGTTACAGTTAAATATTTAAAATGAAAATCAGAAGGTTAATATGTTGGATTATGTTGAATGTTTGAAGAACCTTAGATACAAACATATCAGATTATCATATTAATTCCACAACTTATTTCTAGCTGAGCAGAGTGTGATCACCATGGTGTTGACAGTCAGTACCAAATAGTTATTTCTACATCTAACCAGTATAAATCACCTGACTTACTCAATTAAGGGGAATAAATTTGTCATTTTGGATAGACAAGAAATACTTTTGGGACTGTAGTAGTTAGAGTTCAGAAACTAAGATGCAGTCTTTGTCTGCTAACTACTCAGTAGTCATGGGATGATTCTTCACGTGCCACAAAGGAACAAGCTCTGCCTCTTCTCTGGTTCCCGTACTGTCAGTGGAGGGCAGTGAGCCGGTACCTTACAGCTCAGGCTTCAGGTTCACAACACTGGACCACACACCCTCTGGGCATTTTTAAAACTTTATCCTATGCAGTTTTTGAGGGTTTTTTAAAAAACATCTATCAACATTTTTTTAGCCTGATTTGGATAGATGTAATTCTGCACTTCTGACTAGTTTGAAGATCATTTATTTTCCTACTAATGTTTCATATATTTAGTTTTTGAATTTTTCATATTTCATGGATTCTAGGCCATCCTTATTATATTGATAAAGTCATAATTTGTTAGATGTTATTTTGATAAACCTATTAAAAAACTGCTACAGATAATGTGATTTGGATTATAGGAAAGGCATGGCTTCCTAAAAAGTGAATCAGTCAGGAAGGGCTGGATTATGCCGCAGTAATAGCCAACTCCAGAACCTCAGTGGTTTACAACAACAGAGGTTTGTCTTTATTCCTGCTCTGTGTGCATCACAGGTCAGCAGAGGGCTCTTCTCTGTGTCTCCCACACTTGGGGCAGGACAGGAACTCTGGAGTATCCTGCCACAATAAGTGGTCCATCTGAAAAGTGACACGTGACTTCTACTCACCTCATCTCAAAGAGGCTGGAACCTTCAGTCTCCCATAGGCCTAGAAAGACAGGAGACTCCGCAACCCTTGTGATGGACAAATCATAGGCTTTAAAGCACTTGTGGTCAATTATGTTACTTTTTGATAACTTCCTAACACTCATTGTAGGATTTTAATAGAAGGTAAGTTTGGTCCTAAAGCAGTCACTGTTGCCCTGTTACAGACATGCATAGTGATCTCACATGTATCATCATGTTTAGCTCTGACAGGTGTTCTTTGGCATCCCCATTTTCTGGTGAGTTAGCAAACCTAGAGGAATTAATTCACTCTGAATGTTTTTAGTGCTAACATATCTAATGGGAGATGTTGATTAACTAGTTTTTTGGTTTTCTGTCATTTATTTGAAAAGAACAATAACTCCAGTAGGCCAACTTGGAGTTCGGGCTTTTAATGAATTTTTAAGTAGAATTGTGGACAATCAGTTGTCAAAAACATTAGTGACCTGGCTCAGACTTCTGTAAGTGTGCATAAAATGTGAACTCCATTAAATTAAAATGTGACGTCCATGAGAGGAGGACCTTGGTCCTCACCAGTGAATCTCCCAGTGCAGTGCTTGGCACCTAGTGGGCATTGAACAAATATGAAATACATGAACAAAAACACTCAACAAGTGTTGTTCTGTTGTTACTAAAATGGGCTGGTCTCTAGTCATGCTCTTTGTCACTCTTAATTTCTGTTGACCAACATTCATTCAATACCTTTCAAACCAAACATGGAACGTTCCTACAGTTGTGGAAATGTTCTTTAACTTAGAGAATTCTTTGGTTCCCCCTCCTTCCTTGCCTGATTCAGAGGGACTGAAGGTGCCCTACCGGACGTTAGGCCAGGGCACCTTCAGGGTTTAAAGATGTGCTCTGAGACCTAAGTGAGCGCATAGAAATGCAGTCAGCTGCCT